AACTGGCGGTCAGTTTCAGCAGCGGCTGAATCTGGACGCCAGTTCCGACTTACATACAGACTCAACTTAAGGGACTGTAGGTTTGTTCTATCTTGTACGTAATCCGGGGACTGCCTGTATTAGGCAGACTTGTCAGTTTCAAAAACAAAAAACAACCACTAAGCAAATGTGAAGAAAAGCCCGTTAGACAGGATTTAATATGACTCAATGAATTAGGCAAAGCATCATCTTTACAAGTCAGCAAGATGCTCTAGTATTAAAAGAATTTAGCTTGCCCATCTTCTGTAACGTGCTAAATTTCAGTTGCAATCTTTTCACACTATTCTGAACAACTGAAGCAAGATTTGGGGTGTGGATGTGTAATACTGGTGTTTGAAGTGTGACAGAGAAATTAGCTCTGAAACGTTAAGGTCAATTCTATGAAAATACAAGTCTCCTCTAGCTGCTCTATCTATACACTAAAACATGTAAACCCTACTGCTCATCATCATCTTACCCTTACTTTCTCATAATGTTCTTCCAAAGTAGTAAATTTTTTTGGCATCTATGGTAGTAAGTGCCAACACTTATACTTAACCAATTGCCTAGCCTTTCCTCTCACTGGGTTTGTACAAACCATTTCCTATTTGCCAATTTCAGCAAACCTTATACCAGTGGTCCCCAACCTTTTGGGGCTGTTGGCAGCCCGGGGGTGGGGCTGCTCACGTCGGGCACCCTGGGGCAGGGCCACGCAAGTGCCTGGGGAAGGGGCCACCTGTATGCCACGCACCTGGTGCTGGCGCCACCCATGCGCTGCACTCCTGGGGCCAGGCCGCTCCTGTGCTGCTCACCCAGGGGCCAGCACCGCCCATATGCCGTGTGCCTGGGGCCGGCACAGCCCTTGCACTGCGCCTATGGGGGCGGGGCCACCCAAACACTGTGCGCCCAGGCCAGCACTGCCCATGTGCTGCACGACCAGGGCTGGCACAGGCCTTGCACGGCCCACCTTGGGGCAGGGCTACCCAAACGCTGTGCACCCGGGGGCGGGGCTGCCCATGGATTGTGCGCCTGGGGCTGAAGCTGACCATGCACCCAGGGGGCTGGCACTGCCCATGCGCCGTGCACCCAGGGGCGGGGCCGGCCCCGATCACTTGGCGGGCACACGGAAATGGCCCGGCAGGCGCCATGGTGCCCGCAGGCACCGCGTTGGGGACCACTGCCGTACACAATAGCTTTCCCTTTAAGCCTGCGTTCATCACTTCCCTGCAATGTGATCTCTGAAGTTTGGTATTTCCAGCCAATGTCCAAAGCAGGGTACTGCAGCTTGTCATACAATAGACTAGTATTGCCTTACTTGCAGTGCTGGACTCCCCTTGCTCCCTCTTACTACTATTCATGAAAACAACTTCTGACTCTCTAAAATACACCACATTTTTCCAATCTGGAAAACTTTTTCATTTGCTCAGTAGGTTGGATCAAGATTAGGTAACAATTCACATTTTAGTCTAACATAGCCTCCCTTTCTCTTCGCTATGCACCTTACTCTCCTTTTCGTTTTGTTTTTAGAAACCTTTCTGTTTTTAGAAACCTTTCTATGCTCCCTATTCTTCTAGCACAAAGTAAAAATACTCCTTTTCAGGTGGTATTTCAAATGTATTTATTAGCTGTGTCATGACTGACCGCTCCTAATTCAGAATAAAACGGCCATGTTACTTGAAATACGTAATCTAGAATCAATACATTGCTAAACTTAAAAAACAACAAATAGTCTGGTAGCACTTTGACTAACTAGGGTGTCCAGGTGTCCAGTATTCTACCAGACAGTCCAGTTTTTGTGCCCTTTGTCCGGTATAAACATTCAGAAAAATACCGGACATGTTCAATGT